CCCCCCCCCCCAAAAAAAAAAGAGATTATTCTTTGTGGGGTGCCAACGACTGCCGAGTCTGCCGACCAATCAAGGGGTGCTGACCATTGGCCTGTGCAACTCTGGTGCCAGGGCCATTACCCGGTCTCGGCTAAGGATATACTGAAGAGTTGTTGAAAAGTTGTAACAACTTCATTCTGCGGGTATACTATTTGCGATTGTGGGTTTCCAGGTTTCAAAGCACGACGGATCGCACGTACATGATCAAGTGTTTTAGGACTGAAGTAATGTGAACCATTTCAGTGATTGAAGTATTGTGAATCATTGTGCTTCAATCTTTAAATATTGGCACTGTACGCAATGCCTTGATCTCCAGGCGTTGCCAACTTTATCAAATGCATTCTCGAGATTAAGATCTTTCTGAAGTTCATCAAACCCCCCATATTCCCTGCAAAACTGTGTACGACCGTGGGCTGAAGAGTATGTAACACCTTGCTCTCCATATTTGGCTAATTGTTATCTTATGCATTGTTGTATCCTATCTGGTGCTCAGCGCCCAGACAACGAATGGCAGATCCTATCTTGATTATGCGTTGTCTGGGCGCTGGGCGCTGAAGCTCATTTGTCTCTGCTGATTCCCTGCTAAACCATGTCCGATCGTGAGCTGAATAGCCTCACGGCCTTCATGATAAGGAAATCTTTTCAGCTCCCCACAAGCATGCTGACCCTCAGGCCTCTTGTTTTTTCATCCCTTTCTACTACGCAGAATTTGCAGGTCAGCATGGCAGGTTTTTCATTTTTGTTCTTTTTTTAAATGAATAAAGACTGTTAGCCTGACAGTTATTGACAGTATTTCCCTGTAACTTCTGACTCGTCTGAGTATTGGACTGTTTCTTTGTTTGCTTAGGGAATGGTGTGGGTTTCAAATTTCAATTCTCCTCTTCTTTCGTCTTTGCCATCTTGGAGGGTGGCTGATGGTGGCTTCCTTTCCTTGATGGATTTGTCGCTTGTTTTCTGTGTTCCCTGATTTTGGGCTTTGGTGGGTTGTTTTGTCAACAGGATGCTGTCACAGGAAGACCTGTTGTAATGTGGCCTCGATCTCCTATGCTTTTGTATGTGGCGGGAATGACACTGACTGATCAATTTGCCTTCCCTCTCTCTCTTGCATTGTCCTCCTCTCCTCCCTCCCTCCCTCCTCATCTTCATCGCTTTGTTTTTACCACTGTTTCATTGATTTGTGGGCGTAATAGCAGTATGCATTGCAATCTGTTCATAATTGCAGTCAGAGACATCAACAACAGTGCTAGTGTGAGTATGTCCTGACTTGCTGCTGATTCTCTTCAGAGAGGATCCATCCATCGTCCCAGTTCAGTCCAGCATGGTGTCTAAGTCCTCTGTGTGTGTGTGTGTGTGTGTGTGTGTGTGTGTGTGTGTGTGTGTGTGTGTGTGTGTGTGTGTGTGTGTTTTCACTCCCTCAACTCCTCAAATGGCGAACACAGTGCTTGTTACGTGAACCCCCAAAATAGATTAGCCCTGATACATTCGTGGGTGGGGGCCAACCCTCTTTTGTATTCTACAATGCGTTTGATGCTGCCTGGGTAATCCTCGATTCATAATCTGGGGCCGCTTATCGGAAGCCAAGAATGAAAAAGAGAATTATTGAATTATCAGAAGATGAAAACTTACGGAGGTGGGGAAAGGAGAAAGAGCATAAAATAAGCTTCAAATTTTAAAATATAAAAAAGCCTGCTTACAAAAAGTGAAATGCCACCCAAAAATGCCTGTAGGAATTTCTGTCCTGGAGCATGCGTATTCCTATGGCTGTAGAGCAAACATTTTGACTAACAAGCAGCATTCCTTTCTGTACAAGAGCAAAATTTTTGACAAACTGCTAATGGAGGCATCAGAGTAAACTGTGTACGTAAAGATACAGAGCGAATAAGGCAGTATACAGAGATATTACAGAGGTATTGGAAGAAATATCCCTGAACGGCCTAAACCCAAAAAATCAAGAAGAGAGGTTCTCCAAAATTCTGCTTTTCAAAAAAAAAAAAGAAAAGAAATCTGGAAAGCAATTAATATGTGAATACTAGGATGACATGAAAATAACCATGGCTATGCCGGACCCGAAACCGGACATCGCCGGACATCCGACCGAACGCATGTTCGGATCCGTCTGGATGTCCGGACTTCCAGACATGCTAGGGTCCGGACAGTCCAGATTGGCTGGGAAGTCCGGAAATGTCGGAACCGCCCCAAAACTCCAAATCTATATCTATATATATATATTGTTACGGTCCTGGCCAATTTCGAAGTATACATTCATCAGAAAGTACAATGCCGTCCAATTGCAAAAGGAAATGAATGAACTTGAGGGGAGAGAGAGGGAAAGAAGAAGAAGAAGAAGTAAGAAAGAAGAAGAAGATGATGTACTCCAGCATAGACCAATGACAAGGCTCTTCTTCTTCGCCAACCAATCTCCTCCTCCTTGTCTCTTCCCCTCTTATTCAAACAATAAATAACAATAATAATGTTGAATGGCTGAACCAGAATCAATGTCCGAATCCCACTTCTACTGCAGGCACAACATGAGGTCCACCATAGCCCGAGGCTACGGCGGACTACTGACGCTTCAGCCTCCTGTCCAAAGGACAACCCAAAGCAGCTATGTCGCTGCCGCTTCAAGCAGCTATGCCGCTGCTCACTGAACCGCCATGCCTGACTCTACCCCAAGCTTCCTTGGTGCGGCACTACCCCAATGGGGGCCTTCCAGATGCAGCGCCTAACAAGGTGATGAAGCTGGTGTCCACCATAGCCAGGTAGGTACCTCGCCACTCTCCCCCTTGGTCCCCTTCTCCCTCCTCCTCCTACAGGCCGAGCCCCACCTTAGCCAAGGTGGAAGCTCCTGGCTTCTTCCTCCCAGCAGCGCTGTAGCAACCAGCACTCTTACAACCAGCGCTCCAGAAGCGTGACACCCAACTCGCACACTGAAGAATGAGGCCGAGCTCTTCCCTCGGCCTCTTGATATAGCGGTCTGCTGGCCTCATGGGCTGTGACTTCCAGGCCACTCGGCCTCCCAAACAACCGGTACCTCCTCCCTTTCGGGGGGAAACATCGTTGCAGACTCTGATATTGCCGGTACAGGCTCTAGACTCAGACGGGATGGACCGGTACCAGCCTAGACCTAGCCTACCGCTACTGGGCCTCTAAAAATGCCAACTTTGTCTTCTTCTGCTCGGCCTCAAGTACCCGGCACATCTACTGCTACTGGGTGCGGTACCGGCCTACGTGCTACTTGAGTGTTTTTTTGCTGCTCTAAGCACTGCGTGCCTCCGGCTCCACCACTTGAGTGTTTTCCCCTGCTGCAACGCTCAATGCCACGGCCACAGGTAAGTATCGGCCCTATGGGCCTGCCAAACAAGCAAGTACCCTTGTGGGTCACACACACACTCATGCTGACAAGCACTCAGACAGGCACGCAAGTCAACAGGCACGCACACATACAGACTCAGAAAACACAGCAGAATGCGGGGATCTCAGCAAGGCATCCATTCCATCAGCCGAACTTCAGAAATCAGCAATGTTCTCAGTCTGTGTTATGGCGGGTCATTACACTACTCCCCCCTCAAGAGCGAGGTCCCTTCGAGCGAGTAACTCAATCAGAGTCCTTGCATAATGCATCATAAGCGTAGATAGCAAAGAGAGATTGGGTATGTTCCGAAGGAGTGAGGGTAGCAGTGAATTTAGGTTGCTGTTCGGAGCTAATCAGTCGTTCATATGCATTGACGACTTGCGGGGCACTCTTCAGCAACTCTTTCGTAGCGATCCAATAAAAGTCATTCAACGGGTGGTACAGAAAATGAACTTTATACTGTCTGTTTCCCTCCTTTCCATTGTGCTCGACAATTCTATCAACCTCGTGACCGCCATTGATTGCGCGAGGAATCATTGATTCTCGATACGGAAAAGTTTCAGGTGGTTCATACGAAAACAACTTCGACGCGTGAAACGGATCGTAGTACTGAGTAAGAAGCTTCCGTGATACACCTTCTTCTTCAGAAAACTCAGACATCTTAACCCAGACATAACTTCCCACTGTGAAAGGGTCAGGCTGGCGCTTTTTGTTTGCATGCTTAATCATGGCACTGCGTCGCCTTTCCATAGCTGCGACAACAACTTTGAGCAAACGGTCAAACTTAGCACTGTAGCCTGGCTGGCCAGGTGTTAGGCTAGGTGGCTGGTCAGGAAACAGATAGGATAGGGGATTGCGAATTTGCCACCCGAGGTACAACAGGTTAGGTGTCATCCTGGTGGAGAAGTCGATGGCGTTGTTGTACAGTCCTTGCACATCGGCAATTCCTCATCCCAAGAGTTCTGATCAGGCACAATTAGAGCTCGGAGGAGTTGGATCACAGTCTGGTTGACCTCCTCGGCCAGTCCATTGGCTTCGGGATGTCGGCCAGACGTCATCTTGAGTTTGATGTCGTAGATCTGGGAGGTGAAGTCCTTCCAATCTGCACTTATGAATCTAGTGTCCCGGTCACTCACAAGAGTTTTCGGTGGCCCACACTACAAAATCTATCCCTACACTTGTTAAAATCCCTAAGCGGTGAAATCTCTCATCCTGGCCGTTGGGCCCGACGGTCCGGATGCGCGTGTGATCTTAAAGTCTTAAGACTTTAAGATCGCGCGTCGATCTGCATCGTCGGGTGGCCCGACAGTCCGGATGCGCGCGCGATCTTAAGATCGCACAAACATCTGGGCCGTCGGAAGGCCCGACGGTTTGTATCGCCACTCGATCGTAAGATCACGCCCAACAGGCAGCCCCAACGGCCTTGCCGAGCAACGGCCCTGCCGAGCGACGGCGCTACCGACCTACCGACCTACCGACCTGACGCTACGCTACGGACCTAACGGACGCGCTACGCTAGACTACTACCGACAACGGCCTACGTTACCGACAACGGGCTACACTACCGACCTAGCGCTACGCTATCGACCCTCTCTCTTTCTCCCTCCCTCTCTCTCTCCCT